GAGGTAGAGGAGTAGATTGGTACCCAAGTCTTGAACATGAAATAAAATTGAAAGAAAAATTTTAAAGATCTGTAGGAATCCTGGCACTCTGTTAATTAGAACCACTTTAAAAGAATTCAAGAAAATCTTGCTCAGTTTAAGCAAAATAAAAGTAATAAGAGGAAACATTACTTATGGACCAGATTGTAGATGAGTCTTAGCTCTGTAAATCAAAATGTTGTACAATTGGATATTTTTTCACAGTAATTAACATAATTAATCTTAACTCAAAATCAAAGTTATTTCAGCCCCTTTTTCACTCAACAGAAAACATGAACAATTCCAACCCAATAAAAAGAGTCATTTACACTTTGATCCAACAATGACAAAGAAAGTTCAACTGTGTGAAATTTATATTTAGAAGCAGTCCATCATCATTTCAGTTGACTTTCAGAGGCAAAGAGCAGGCTTCACCTGATTTAATTTTAGAACCATCCGGTTCAGCTTATTCCACTTTAATACAGCTATGACACTGGGTAAAAGGTTGTATCTTGGGGCATCAAGTATCAGTGACGCACAACTTTTCTATTATTTTGAAGGTTGTACTTTTATTTTTGTTTTACCTTCTTTTAAGAGTCGTATTATTCTACAAATTAAGAATTTAGGTTTTAAAAGTGATTAAAGCACCTAATGAACTAAAAACTCATAAGCTATTGTAATATCAGTGAGTATGGGGTACCAGGTCCTTTGATACGGGCTGTTAGGCCCCTGCATGATCAGCGTCAGAGCTTGGTCTACATTGCTGGCAGTAAGTTGGGCTAGTTCAAGGTGAGAACAAGGCTGCATCAGACTGTGATCTCCAATTTTTGCTGCAGTGGTTCGCAGCTGAGTGACGCAGCTGGGATGAGAATCAGCTCCTTACACTTTGAGATCGTTGTCGTTATTCGGAAAAAAACTAGAATGCCTTCTCCAGGTCAGGGATGAAGTCCTGCTTCAAGTGGAGGAGTTTAAACCTTTAGAACCCAACCCCTTTTGAATTAGAAAACAGATTGGATTGAATGCATCAAAATGTAGAATAAAATATAATAAAATATAGAAGTAGAATATTTTTCTATATACATATGGATATCACTCGAGGTATTCCAACTTGAATATTTGTCTCAAGAAGCAATTTTGCAGATGTTTGAAATGGGTTGTGACACCAGTGTCACCACGGGTCCTTAAGGGTTTAGCATCTCAAGGTCTTTTTCACGAGTGAGGGAAGGATGGAGAGGGAGATCGATAGGCAGATTGGTGCTGTGTCTGCAGTGATGCGGGCGTTGTACCGATCTGTTGTGGTGAAGAGAGAGCTGATTTACCGGTTAGTCTACCTCCCAACACTCATCTTATGGTCATGAGCTTTGGGTAGTGATTGAAAATACAAGGTCCCTTTACAAGTGGCTATAATGAGTTTTCTCTGCAGGGTGGCTGGGCCCTCCCTTAGAGAAAGGGTGAGAAGCTTGGTCATCTGGGAAGGGTTGGAGTAGACCTGCTGCTCCTTCATGTTGAGACGAGCTAGTTGAGGTGGCTCGGGCATCTGGTTAGAATGCCTTCTGGATGCCTCCCAATACTGGCACTTCCATACTTGCACCCTTCAATTTGCGATCCCGGCCAGGGGTGCGAGTGCATATGGCAGGGCTATTTAATTCCAGGCCTCGAGGGCCAGTATCCAGCATGTTTTAGTATTAACCCTGCTTCAACACACCTGATTTCAATCAACAAGTGATTAACAGGCTTCTGCAGAGCCTGATGAGCAGCTGCACGGGTGAATCAACCACTGAATCTAGTGTGTTGGACTAGAGATACCACTAAACATGCTGGATACTCTGGCGTACGGTGTCTTGACTCTCAAATGCAGAAGTTGACCACTCCCCTTTTGCACCTTTGATCCGCATTTCGCCCAAGTCCACCTCAATGCAGATTTGGGTTACGGGTATTACCCACAACCCGCTGCTGTGGAAGAAAAGGCTCAAGTGCCTTTTCTGAAACTATGTAGTTTCAAATGAAAGTAATTCATTTAAGGATGATTAGTTGATGCTCTGAATTTTTTAGACAAAGCAGCAATGAATGTAAATTTATTTCAAATAATTTTTTGGTTGTTTGTTTGAAAGTTGTTGATAAAAGTGTTTTTTTTTAAGTAGCACAGCGACCAGCATCATGGCATGCGTTGTGCACGATGACACAATGCTCCCTATCCCAATTCGGCAATATTTTTGCACACTTGTGTACCACGCACTCGAAGCCTAACTTTGCACTTCCTCCAAGTGCACTTCACAGAAACATGCAGGGCGCAGTGAGAGTAAAGGGATCGGGCTTTGTCTCTCCCCCGGATTCCCCCAGAGGAGCTGGCCCATGTGGCTGGGGAGAGGGATATAACAATTATGCTATAATGCTCAGATGGGAATCTTTTCGTGATTGATTTGTTACTGCCACAATGTTCTCTGTGTGTGACGTTTACAGTGTCTGCACACCTGCATGAGACGGGAGTGTTAATTACAATCTGTCAAAATGACCGCCTTCAGATTCCTCTGTCACTGTTAGAAAAATGATCATATATCTTGCTACAGACAGCGTGCACTGAAGCTCGGAGCGCAGTTGTGTTTCACAGGTGCAGTGGAAACATGTTTGATGCAGAATTAAGACGCAAGAGCACATGCGGGATTATATATATATATATATATATATATATATATATAATATTATATATAATATATAATATATATATAATATTTGTATACTTTTTTCTATTACATTGAAAACATACCATATTACTGAGCAAACATAATAGAAGAACGAGTAAACAAGAGGACCAACATACACAAAATGCTTTAAGGACCTGTGGATACCCAGCAGAGTCGTGGTGTACCCCCCCCCCCCCCTTCACAACAACAAACGACAACAGGAAGAAAAGAACAACCAAAACCCAAAGAGGGCGACAACGTCCTCTGCTGCCCGCTGATAAAAGGAGAAGGAAGTGACGCCGCCGTCACTAGCTAGCTTTGATGATCGCAGGAGTGGTTGAAACTGTCAGCAAGGTAAAAAAATAAAACCTTTCCTGTGTTGGAAAAAAGAACCTAAAAATGCCCACCCATGTTTTCTTAGGCCCACCCACTTTCTGGCTACGCCACTGGACCCGACCACGGAAAATCTGAGGAAAATTGATGGATGAATGAAAGAAACTAAATCTTTTGATATAAAAGCACCATTAAGGCTACCTGAGCAGTAATTAGAGCAATAATATGTAAAATATATGTATGACAACATTATGTCATTAAAGATGTTGCTGTTAAAATGTTGTTGGTTTAACTTTAAAGTCCTGAAAGCTCAATATTTGTCCCTAAAATATGTAGAAGAATTGAGAGTATTTAGACAGAAATAGTGAATTAAAGCAAACATCCCCAGAATATGATTACATACAGCAGTCAGTTGGAAGGAAGAGTGTTTTCACAACACTACGGAGCATGTAATGATGGCAGGGTATGGGTTTCAGCAGCTTTTACCACCGGAAGCCCTCCTTCCCTACAAATGGAAATCTTTTGCAACCAGTGTTTTGCCAGCGGACTCACATGAAATCATTTTTCCTGCATGATCATCACAGCATGAGTATGGACTTGTTGGCTCCAGAGACTTGACTTTGTGTCAGAATAAACAAAGTGGGAGAACGTTGTCTGCCAGTGACTTTACACGCTGTGTGTAATTTATTTTGCAACGATGTGATTCAAGTTGAAATATTGCTAATCATTTGAATTTGTGTAGTTAAGGTTGGGTAGGATCTCATTAAGAGATACATTAAGTAAACTAGTTAAGTTTCACATTTGTAATCGCATTTGCCAGAAATGTGATGTGTTTTTGTAGTTTTAGAGATGATTAAACCTTTTTGGAATATCCTATAGGATATATATATATATATATATATATATATATATATATATATATATATATATATATATATATGTATATATATATACATATATATAGATCTTCTCAGTCCCTACACCCCTAGCAGGTCCCTGACATCCAGTGAGCAAAAACCTACTTGTTGTGCACACACACACACACACACACACACACACACACACACACACACACACACACACACACACACACACACACACACACACACACACACACACACACACACACACACACACACACACACAACGGCAGCTCCGTGCTACAGAGAGAAGTTTACTCAGCAGCATCCAGCATGAAAATGAATTGTGCATGCAGTTTAGCCCATTTTAACCAAAGGGGAAATTTCCATTTGATCTATTTCACCAATAATGTTGGAATTTATAGTTGAAGATCTAGAAATGAAAGTAACTCATTTTATATTCTTTGTAATTTACAGTTGTTTCCCCATAAAGAACCAGATATTTGTGCATCTGAGGCAAACTCATGGGCGTAATCTTGACTTTAGAAGCAGGAGGGACACAACCGCCTTGAGGACCAGGGGAGGGGAATCTTTACAGTAAGTATACACAAATATGTATAAAACCACAGCCTAGAGGCTCTTTTATGCAATGTCAGGAATGCAGAACTGTCAAGTACACAGTTGGCAGGAACGGCCAATCACACGTTAGCAAGTATCAGCAGAGCCAATAGATGAGCTTTGGATGGTTCTAATGGGAAAAAGGCTTCAACACAAGTGGCTGTTTTCCATTTGGTCCTAGTGCTCAACCAGTGTCTATTTAATTTAGCGTATACTGTTTTAGGACGGTAACAAGTGCAGGGAACAAAAATTGACTATAGAAAAAGTGGAGGGATATGCCCCCCTGTCCCCCCAAAAACTATGTCCATGGGCAAACTACTGAATTTTAATAGACTTACAGAGTTGATCAAATTCTTCCTTAGAAAACTGTTGCTTAGTCATAAAAAATACATAATTACTTTAACTTATGACGCCATAAAGTAAGGAAGTTTGTCATGAATGAACCATTTCCGCTTGCTCATTCAATCCCCCCCACCATCATCTTCATCACTGGCGAGACTCTTCTCCTGTAAAAGGCCTCCTCCCCCCCGGCCGGGCTGACTCTCGCTTTCAGCAGCAGAGGAGAGCAGCTGAGATTCCCGCTGCAGTCATGATAAGAAGCGAAGTTTTCTCCTGTTTTGTCTTCTACGCCGTCCTCCTGGTGTTTAAAATGTACGTTATCGCGGTCCTAACGGGACAAGTGCGGCTGCGGAAGAAGGTGAGAACTTGGACGTGACTTTTGGGGTAGAAATGAAACTTTTTTGTTTTTCTGAACCTTTTTTCTTTTCTTTCGTGTCTCTTAAAGGCTTTCGCCAACCCGGAGGACGCGCTGAGACACGGAGGGTTACAGTATTACAGAGAAGATCCTTATGTGGAAAGATGCCGGAGGTGAGAGAGGAAACACTGTCAGGACATGCTTTTCTGCTGTTAAAACACTCATTTACACTGATTATCTTCTTGCATTGTAGTTTTTCCATCCTTCAGTAGTGAGATTCTGCAGATTTCTGAAAAAAAAAAGAAAAAAAACAGTGAAAAACGCAGTTAGTTTCAGCTCTGGGGTGATGATTCCCAGATGTTTCCTGTTTCCTCCTGTTTCCTTTGGAAGTAAAGGCTACATTTGCTGTGTTTTCTGTTAGCTGTCAGGCTTGAACCAGCTGGATGGTTTGTTTTAACTTGTCAGAGAAACAGATAGATGATAGATTCACTTCTGCTGTGCTTATCTGAGTCCTGAACTTGGATAAAAGTGAATATGTATTCGCTTCGAAGTACTGGTACCAATGATGTCATGTGTGTGTGTGTGTGTGTGTGTGTGTGTGTGTGTGTGTGTGTGTGTGTGTGTGTGTGTGTGTGTGTGTGTGTGTGTGTGTGTGCCGGTGGGTGTCAATGATCCAAGTGATTTTGGACATTATAGTCAATAGACCTCCTTTATCTAAAGTACTACTGCAGCCCAGTTCAACAGGCGGCCCAAGGGCCGGAACTGGCCATCATTCACTTTAGACTGGCCCATTGCCCCAATACCTCTTAGTAAATTATTTCTTTAAGAGCTGTGATTTAATTGTTAACCACATTTTGTGAGGTTAGAAAGGGTGGAGCTCCACCATTTCTGCTGCTGGTGGAACGTTTACAACATCAGTGTCTGGGGAAAACAAGCTGCATCCAAAAGAGGAGACGCAAGGTTGACAGCGGAAATAGAAAAATTGTACACAAAATCCACGTGCCTTGTCCATCACGTTGTTTGTTCGATAGAGAATACAAGGGGATCAACAGACACAGAACCACCTACTACTACTACTACTACTACTACTACTGCATCTCTGAACTGCATGCATTCTGACTAAAAAGAAAAGACAATGGTACAACAAGTAAAGGAGTACATGGGAATGAGTGGCCGACTGGCAAAAGCCTTACGACAGTTTGGCCCAACAACTAATCTAATTTCTACCTCAGCCGTGCTGAATGGACCAAAACTCCCCCATGGGAGGCAGGCGGAGGGACATGTCCCACTGTGCCCCCAAACAAACAAAGAAAATTGGCATTAATCACTGGCACGCAAGGTAATCCGGTCATTTTGTTATATGTTTTTGGAACAGTGGGTAGAATAATAAAGGACATTGTTAAAAGGCTTCTAGTAATCATTGGGAAGGAAGCAGCTTAGTGCTGTGCTAAAAAGTCACCCTTGCTGCAGAAGCAGAGAAAGTACTGAACACTCACTACTAGACATATAGGTGAGGAGCTATAAACAGGCTTAACTTATGAGTAAGTCACGTCCAGCTATTAAATCCTCATTCCTGCATCTCAAAGGGACTCCTAAAGTCAGAGTGAACGATATTTATCTCTGCTGCAGTCTTTGTGTGCTCCAATCAAGCTTATTTTGCTTTTGCCAGTGGTGGAATAAGTACTTGATTTTTTTTACTTAAGTAAAAGTACAGAAAAAGGGTTTTTTTAAAATTACCCAAGTAAAAGTACAGGTATCCAATGCATTTTTCACTGAAGTAAAAGTATTACAGTGCATTTTCATATGGTCTTAAAAGTAAAAGTGTGTGTGTGTGTGTGTGTGTGTGTGTGTGTGTGTGTGTGTGTGTGTGTGTGTGTGTGTGTGTGTGTGAATAGCCTGTTAAATTGGTTTTTAGAGAAACAATTACACTGAAAGTTACAGATTTTAGGCCTTAATTATTGCAGTAAAGCAGCTGCTCTTGTGTCTTTTCTTAATTAACAAAAATTCTGCAAAAACATGTTTATATTAATACTTTGTTGTGTTTAATGTGGTCTAGTGAAAGTAAAGTGTAGGTCTCAAGAAAATTACTTAAGTAAAAGTTTCCAAGACATTTTTCAATGAAGTAAAAGTATTAAAGTGCATTTTCAAATGTACTTTGGATTGGTGCTGGGATGGGGGTTGGACAAAACAGATTAAAGTACTTTTTAAAATGTAGTGGAGTAGAAAGTACAGATAATTGCTTTTAAATTGTAGTAAAAGTTAAGAGTAGGCCTCAAGAAAATTCTTTAAGTAAAGTACAGATACAGAAAAATTGTACTTAAGTACAGTAACACAGTATTAGTGCTTTGCTGCATCAGTGGTTTTTGCTTATGCAAACACAAGTTGTGCTTTCTTGCTACTGGCAGTAAAAATCATTTATGAAAATAATAATAATAATAAAAATCACAATAGAAATAAAACAAAAGACGGTTTTTCAGTAGGGCTCGTCTAATCCCAGGGTTCGGTGAACAAACAAGCCTTCAAAGTTCTCACGAACTCACTAAAAACTCACACAAAGAAGAAACCCAGTAAGACAGGCCCGGCAGGACGGTGAAACCGGAGCAGCCTTCATTCACTCAGTCATTCATTCATTCATATTCTAATACCTTCCTCTCCTGCAGGGCTCATCACAATGACTTGGAGAACATCCTACCGTTCCTCTTCCTGGGCGCCATCTACTCCCTGACCGGACCTTCGCTGTCATTGGCCCGCCTTCACTTCCTGGTCTTTTTCATCTGCCGTGTCCTGCATAGTATCGCCTACCTGCTGCCCCTGCAAGCGCCCGCCCGCTCCGTGGCTTACACCATTGCACAGATACCGTGCGTTTCCATGGCTGTGCAGATCCTAATTTCAGTCATGGCTTACGCCTGATACACAGAACTGGGCCTGAGGTGGTGTCTTAAAAAAAACTGAATTCCTCTAGAAAAGGCAGCAAAGGTGCAACATCACATGTGTGATCACAGCCAGGGTGGCCGCAGAGATCCTGTCAGTATTTTTTGCTCTATTTGTGAAATGTGACAATGTCTTAAGAGGTATTTGAAGTATGGCATTAGATGTCCTCGTGTATTTAAAACGCAAATGAAGTTCGTCACCAGTTTGTTGGAATTGTAAACCTCGCCCTGTGTCGTGAGTCGATCCCTGCCCTGATTTGTGTTAACGCACAACACAAACCCTCGTCGGTGTGGCCCGGGACACCGATGGTGGCTTCATCTACTTCCTGTGTGGGTGTTTCCACAAAAGCTGTGTGGATCATTACGCGGACTGATGAGGTGTAACAGCAGAGAACACCACACAAGAGAAACGAGACATGACTTCCTGTTATTTTTTTCGTATGCAATAATTTGACTCTTTTTTTGTAGTTATAATTTATTATTCAGCATAGAGTCATGTCTTTGCAGCAAAAAAATATTTTATACTCAAAGCAATAAAATAAATCCTAACCTCATAAAATGAATGTTTATGGATTTCACAGCCAGGCGGTTGTTGTTGCAGCCTGGTTGTGCACGGACTGGTTTCATAAGGGGACGGGGCCTCACTGAGAGATGAGATGATCCAGAAGTCAGAGGCAACGCTCCAGCATTCCTCCACCTATTACGTAAAAAAGCTGAACTGGGCTGGAACAGCGCTGAATAGACAAAGGCTGAAATGCTAATTCATGCATTTATTCCTGCATAATTACAGCTGCTGTTCAGCAAAGTCCTAATCTGTCCTCTTGTTTTTGTCTCTGCTGTTCTCGTTACATAAAATACCACTTATGGTGATTTTCCAACCAGTAAAGGTGACTAAACTTGAATGCACAGAATCTTTTGTGAGTTTTTTAGTCTGTTTTCTTACAAAAGAACAAATACTAATACTTTTAGGTGGGTGGAATGGAAAACTCTGCTTTGAAAGAATGAACTCCCGCAAAACCTAATCTGGGAGACAAATAAAGCTGACTAACAAAGAGCAAGGGCGTGTCTGTCTATATTTAGTGGGTGTGCTTTGGCTTTTTGTAATTACATGCGCGACCTTATTTTTCTTTTTCTATTCTGCACACATGTAGTCTGATATGGGTTCAAATAGAGGGAATGTGTTTTATTTTCAAAAATAAATAAAAAAGTGACTTCAGCTTCATGAATATTTACCTCCACCTTGTGGCCAAACATTACCTGCACTGAAATGTCAGGGGTAGTTGGAGGCTGGGGACGGACAGAAACAGAAATGCAGAATAAGACGTCCAATGATCACTAAATATTCAGGCACTAAACTACAAATAGATTCAAATTTTAATGATAAAAGTGATGATGTGGCAGAAGAACATACCCCTGTATGCAGAATTCAATTCAATTCAAATTTAAATAGCCAAATCATGACAAGAGTCGTCTCAAGGCACTTCCACAGAAGAAACCTCCAGAGGATCTGACTCAGTATAAGCAGCCTTCCACCATGACTCACTGGGGATGGAGAAGACAAAGAAGAACGTGTTGCACGCTACAGCCGACTGCAAATGGTTCCATCAGAACAAAGTTGAACCAACTTTGACTCCTTGAGAGTCCTCCATAGATGCAAATAACAACTGTCGTGACCTGGAGACATCTCGAGACCGGTCTAGTCGGCACTGCGGTTTCTTCTACGGACTTCGGTACCTTTGGGGTCCCCGGACCTCAACACAGTCCGGATCTTCCACGGGGGTCTTCAAATGGTACGTAGACTCGACAGATTGCGTCTGATGTGGTTTTAGAAACCATCACTATAGTTTATTGCAGACCAATTCACTCCCACTCAGAACTCAGTTTCTTCAGATACGAGATGTTCTGATAACATCACATTCACACATCATCACACCTCACATTCCATCCACTTAGATTCATTCATCACATAAAGTGCCCTAGTTGTTATGTTTTTAATTGTTTAGTAAATAAATGTCTTACTTTTTTATAAACTTGACTCTGTCTGAATTGAGACGAAGTGTCTTACGATCCCTGAATAAACTAAGAATTCTAAATCTTCTGGTTAAACATTCAAAGATCAACCAGACTGAATTTCCATGTTTATTCAGAAATTTACATCTTATTGGTCAAAGTGTAGTGCAGTATATTGAGATTTAAAAGCACCCAAAATACTATACTATACTATTCCTACACAGGAGAGGGAGAATGTTTAAGTGGTTAGCAGCAGTGTGCTAGACGATGGCCCCCTCCATGAGGCCACCACAGCTCAGCAGAACATCGTTGTAGCTTCTTCTGGGGAGAAAAACACTTAGAGCAAAAATAAAGTTGACAGCTAAAATAGCAGGAAATAATGCAGTTAAAGAGCAAATTGTAGAAGAAAGTAGTCGAGTGTGGAAAGTGGTCAGTGTGTCCTCCAGCAGTCTAAGCCTATAGCAGCATAACTACAGAGATAACTCTGGATAACCCTTTTAGATGGAGGCATGTTGGAGGCAGGGCAAGGGAGAGCCGTCTTTACCGACTGTACACTCCACCTCCCTCTACTCCCCCACTTGTCCAGATTTAGGCTAACATCAGATTTTAACTATAGGCCCTATCAAATAAAAATGTTTTAAGCCTATTCTTAAAAGTAGACAAGGTGTCTGCCTCACGGGCTAAAGCTGGGAGCTGGTTCCACAAGAGAGGAGCCTGATATCCACATCTGCTGCCCTCTGAAACCACTGGTGAGGGATTTTATCAATGTTTTAGACTCATTTGGACTACAGCAATTGGTAAATGTTCCCACACATGCTGACTCTCACACCCTGGATTTGGTTTTATCTTTTGGACTGGATGTGCATGATTTATCTGTGGTTGCTGTGGCGTTTTCCGACCATCCTGTGATCACATTCAGCATCTCACGTCTCCTTCCTCCAGCCCGGCGACAGTCTGCCCATTACTCCAGGCACTTATCTCCAAGTACGACTTCCAACTTTTTGTCGGTTTTGGACACTGATGCCCTCGCTCCGCCCTTGTCAGTCTCCTGCATGGATGTAGATGGCCTTCTGCATCGGTTCAGTGTGACCTACTCTGCTGCTCTGGACGCTGTTGCCCCTCTGAGACCGAGGCGGAAACAGACAACATCCGACCCGTGGCTGAATGATTACACCCGTAGCCTCAGGCGACAGTGTAGGGTACTGGAACGGAGGTGGAAGAGAGACAGACTGTCATGCTCTCAGCTGCTCCCGGTTGATGCACTTTCACGATACCAGAGAGCAGTTAGATCTGCTCGTAACAACTATTATTCTGCTATCATTTCACAGCATCATGGAGACCAGTCTTGGCTGTACAGTACAATCAACTCCTTTCTGCTGTTAAATGAGTCTGATGGTCTAAATCCCACTGTTGCTTTATGCACAGAGCTACAGACCTGTTTCCTAAACAATATCCTTGGTATTAGGCTTAGCCTCCAGCCTCAAATACACACTATCCATGTGGAACCGCCTGACCCACCTGCCTTCTTGGACTTTGCTCCAGTTCAGCTTGCTGACTTGATGAAACTGATTAGCTCCATGAAGCCAGCTGGCTCTTCGGTGGACTGCCTCCCGGCTAAATTGGTGCGCGACTCGGTGTCTGCACTGAGCCCGGCACTTATGAACATTTTTAATATTAGCCTCAGCACTGGAGTGTTCCCTAAGGCTTTTAAAGATGCGGTTGTTCAGCCGATATTGAAAAAACCTGGTCTGGAGCTCTCCACTGATGAGAACTTCCGCCCTATATCAAAAGTCCCGTTTCTCTCGAAGGTCCTTGAGAAAATTGTGCATGGTCAGATCTCTGCTCATATGAACAGCATCTCATTGTTGGATGTGTTTCAGTCCGCCTTCAGACCACACCATAGCACTGAGTCTGCTTTGATTAGGGTGCTAAATGACATTTTGGTGGCATCTGACTCTGGGTCTAGGGTACTGCTGCTCCAGCTGGACCTTTCAGCGGCTTTTGATACGGTCGATCACCATGGATTTTACTGGATCAGCTTGGGTCCCGGGTTGGGGTGACGGGGGTGGCACATAAATGGTTCCGCTCCTACCTATCAAACCGATTCATCTCTGTACAGATGGGTGACTGTGCATCCTCCTGTCTTCCACTGACTTGGGGGGTGCCACATGGTTCCATTCTTGGGCCATTGCTGTTTTCTATCTACCTTCTGCCTCTGGGCAATATCCTGAATCAGTATGGCCTGAGCTATCACATTTACGCTGATGACTGTCAACTATATGTAGAAATGGATGAGAAGAATGCGGGCTCGCGATTGGCTGCATGTTTAGATGACGTGAAGGGCTGGCTGGCATCCAACTTCTTAAAGTTAAATGAAAAAAAGTCCGAATTTATTGTTTTTGACCCCCACAACCACCATGGCTCTCACCCTGTTTGTGACCTTTTAACCCTCAACCCCAAACAGTGTGTGTCAAGTCTCGGTGTAAAGCTGGATGCTGAACTCACAATGGCCCCGCAGATAAACTCCGTAGTGAGGTCTTGCTTTTATCAGCTTCGCCGCCTTACTCGCCTCAGACAAATCCTGAAATGGAGCCATTTGGAGTCAGTCATCCATGCCTTCATTACCTCTCGCCTTGACTACGCAAACGCCCTCCTCGTTGGTGTTCCGGTCTCTGCCCTGAATCGGCTGCAGGTCGTCCAGAATGCTGCTGCCAGGTTCTTGACGAATACACACCGACGTAGCCATATTACCCCTGTCCTGGCACATCTTCACTGGCTCCCTGTCATTTTCAGAGTACAGTTTAAGTTATTGACTTTTGTATTTAAAGCACTCAACGACCTGGCACCTCCCTATCTCTCTGACCTACTCACTCCATGTGTACCCACTCGCACGTTGAGGTCGGCTGACCTTTTGCTGCTGTGTACGCGGCGGATGCGATACAAATCGCGGGGTGAACGAGCATTTGTCCATGCTGCCCCAAAGCTGTGGAACTCGTTGCCCATTGGAGTTCGGCAGGCTCCATCACTGGCGGTTTTTAAATCTCGTTTAAAGACCCACTTTTACGATTTGGCTTTTAGACAGTGACTTGTTTTAGTGTTTTATTGTGTCATTGTTTTAATGTGTTCTTAGTATTCATCATGTTTTATCTGCTTTGACTGATATTTTTATCCTCTGTTTTAGTTCCTTAGAATGGTCGCGTTTTGTTTTAGCCTGTGCAGCACTTTGGGCAGCTCCCATGCTGCGTTTTAAACGTGCTATATAAATAAACTATGGTATGGTATGGATAGCTGAAAGATCTGCCTCCCATCCTATTTTTAGATGTTTTGGGAACCACCTGTAAACCTGCAGTCTGAGAGCGAAGTACTCAGTTAAGAACATTACAGAACAATCAGATCATTGATGTATGATGAAGTTTGATTATTAAGAGCTTTATATGTGAGAAGGAGGATCCTAAAATCTATTCTGAATTTAACAGACAGCCAATGCAGGGAAGCTAAGACAGGAGAGATGTGACCTCTCTTTTTAATTCTCATCAAACCAAACAAAGGCCCACTGAGAGGAAGATGATAAAACCAAAGATGCTGGAGCACCAAGGAGAGATGGAACACAGGAGCGTTTCAACAACAGGCATGAAAAAGAACAGCTCGGGTAATTTTAGTTGACATATTGGAATTAGTTTTTGTTGTTGTTTTATAGAGATAACTAAGTTGTTCTTCTATACTGCTTGTTCTGATAAATATCCCGCACATGTGTAGCACCTTTCTGAGTCAGAGGACCCCAAAGGGCTTTACACTACAGTGTATCATTCATCCATTCACACACTGATGGTGATGAGTTACGATGTAGCCACAGCTGCCCTGTGGTGCACTGAAGGAGGCACCACCGGTCCCTTCGACCACCACCAGCAGGCAGGGTGAGTTAGATGCAGTGGCTAGCAAAAGAGCTAACCACTGCACCACTGTGCAGCCCTACTCTTTAGGTGATCTCATGATAATTTTAGCCTAAAACTTGTAAAACACACAATTTAGTAATGAGTGCTACAAACCT